TCCGTCTGTCCGTCCGTCCGTGACCTCAAGTTTTCGTCGACGAGAAAATGCGCTCTCTGTCACTCACTGCAGTGAGTACTGAGTTATATTTTTTCGCCTTTGTGTTGGTCATCTCTACACACATTGACAAGAAAAAAAGTAACATTTTTTTAGCCTTTGTGTTGGTCATCTTTACACACATTGACTTAAAAAAGATGTATCAATGCTAAATGAGGGAAATGTGTTGCTATTTGGACAATATGAGCCATAACTTTTTTTAAGTGTACTGTCACTTACCGCGCGCTTTTCGTTTACTCATTCAGAAAAAAAAGTAAAGATTTGTCCGAATAGCGATGAACTTTCCGCCTTTTTGTGGGTCATCCTGACCCAGTTTGGCCGATTTACAGCGTGTCTGCGCTACGTCCGCTCTCTGCTCCTACTATGACGTGTCATTATTTGGTCAATGTGGCTGAATGATACTTTTCAACATGAATGTAATCCTGCTGAAAGTAATTACATTATTACTTGAGTAGCGGGATACGAATAATATCAATTACACAAGCGATACGATTTTGTAATTTATAAATATCGTTGTTGAATCTAAAATCATTTTAATATAATCTCTATATATTGTTTTGTGGAAGACAACAAATTTTTTACTCAAAAATATACTTTGGTTACATAATCCTCATGCTGTAAGCATCGGGGAATGCGGCTAAAATCTTGCGTTCAACCGTTTATGTTCATATTCACTTGAATATCGAAAATTTACCCATTTTCCTGCTACTTTTCCCATTTTTAAAATCAATTTTGGTTTTAATTTCTACCTCATAAATTTAGTCAATAGAAGTGGTCAATACTCCCAAACTTTTGGCTAATGATGAAATATGCATCCAAAACATTTTAAATTCAAGTTCGTTTCCTCGCTATAGATTTAATAATTAGAAAAAAAAAGTTTATATAAGCTCAATAACTAATTTTTAATAACATTATTCAGATTAATATGTGTATTTTTGCCAGAGTTTTCCGTTTTCCTAGACATGTGATGACAAAAGTTCTCTGACATCAATGCGGTGTCTCAATAATGACACTACAGTTTATTTATAGTGAATTACAAATATTAAAGTAATAGATGCTAGTCGTGCGTGACTAATCACATTACTATTTGCATGACACCAGCCAAAAAATTGTTGCAGCTTCTCATGTAATACTAGTTTTCTACGAACGAATGTTTGATTCATAAAAAATTAACTCTTCCCAGAATTTTACGGTGAACTGTTGTAAAATGTTTATCTGATGTTTGCGATTCGTTACAGAGACATAATTCTCACTGGAAAGTTTATAAATTTCACCATATAATTTATAAAATCGTTTATATTATTGTCTCATGTCCAACTTGCTATGTCCATAACAACAAAATCAACAATTTCCAGGACGCAATGTTTTACCGACTGGCAACTACTATGCGATTTCTTTATTGGTTACTAAATCCCTAATGAATATAAGTTACTTTATTCACCGTTTACAATAAAACGCTAAAAAAAATACGTATAAATAAATTCCATATAGCATATTTAGCTTATTGTTGATACAGCACTGCAGAACTAGGAATGAAGTAAATTATTTCACATGAAAGCAGCGGAGATTTGATTATTATTGTTATATGAAACTCCTTACGAAATATTCTGCTTATTGTTGATATAGTTCTACTGAACTGGAAAAGGACTGAATCATTTGGCATGTAAGCATTATTTGCAAATTATATTTACATGTCATTTATTATTGTTGTTATTACCAATCGCCGCGGCGTGCCCAGGTTCTCGTACACTCGCTTGTGTTGCGGCAACCCGCGGCGCGGCTGTTGCGGCAGCGCCGCGCCAGAGCCGCCCGCGGACGTGGAGACGGCACTGCCGCTGCCCCAGAGACGAGGGTACAGAGATGAGGGTGCATAAGCGGGGGACAGAGGCGATGGCACAGAGATGAGGGTGCTTAGGCAGGGGGCAGAGACGATGGCACAGAGATGAGGGCGCATAGGCGGGGGACAGAGACGATGGCACAGAGATGAGGGTGCATAAGCGGGCGACAGAGGCGATGGCACAGAGATGAGGGTGCATAGGCGGGGGACAAAGACGATGGCACAGAGATGAGGGTGCATAGGGGGGGACAAAGACGATGGCACAGAGATGAGGGTGCATAGGCGGGGGACAGAGACGATGGTACAGAGATGAGGGTGCATAGGCGGGGGACATAGACGATGGCACAGAGATGAGGGTGCATAGGCGGGGGACAGAGACGATGGTACAGAGACGAGGGGACAGAGATGTGGGTGCATAGGCGGGGTACAGAGACGACGGTACACAGAGGAGGGTACAGCGACGAAGGTGCAGAGACGAGGGTTAAAAGTAGAGGTTCTTTTTAGCCTATCCAATGTTATTTCGAGCTTTTAGCCTTGCCTTACGATCCTAGAGAGCACAATATCTTCAACGATTTAGCTATGAATTTCAAAATAAATAAGACAAAAATTTCTTGTGCTGCAATTATGTTCCGTTTAATTATGTAGAAAAATAGCATTCCCTTGTCGTTAGCTCTAAAGTCAGGGCTTTGCGTTTTAATCGGTTCAAACTAATACCGAAAATAGTGGTTTTAATTAATTTGAAAGCTATAAGTCGATCTAAAAGTTTTGAATGACTTTCAAACGTGTGCAGGTGACAGTGAAGTCATTCACAAAGTGTAACGTGACACGTTTCCTTGTAATTAAAATTTTATTTTCATTTTCAGAAATACTACTCAGTACGTACCGCACCCCAAATATTCGCCCAAACGCAAGAAAATGTTAATCTCGCCGCCCATATCGGCAACTCTGCACCGCGGCAGTGACCTGCCTCACTCGCCTATGCCAGATTCTCAAAACGAAAATTTCTCGTACGCCAAGCACGTTAACTCTGCCTCGCTGCCCCCAGACTATCACAGAGACCAAAGACTAACCTTGGCCCCAGAGGCCCTGGAGGTACGGAAACTCGTGGCCGAATGCGCCGAGTACGCAACTTCTACCATTCCAGGCTTCACTCCTGACCAGGCGGACCTGAAATACGATCCTAAAGTTCTGGAACAAAGTCGTCGCACTCACGATTACGATTTCCTGAACAACACGATGGTTCTAGAACCCGCCACCCCCACGCCATCTTTGTCCACCGCTTCCCCAGTCCAGTCCACACCCTCGTCCCCTCTCTCGAGGGACGCTCCACCAATGGATGGGTGGACCCAGGACTCCCGGGGACTTTCCGTCACCAGGATGGGACTGTCCCAGGAAGGTGGGTCAAGCTCAAGCCAGTCCACCAGAGCGGCTTCGCCCAGTTGGGTCAGCCTTTCAACTGGGTCTCCCAGAACTGAGTCTGCCGTCACCTGGGCTGATGAAGACCCTACTGCAAACTTCGAGCCGAAGACCTTCAAGAGACCGACCGGCAAGACCCTCGTTGTTTACAACACAATGTCCGGAGACGCGCTGTTGCAACAGAGTAAAATAGCAAGAAGAATGGAGGCGATGCAGCGCAAGAGACACAAAACTAGACAACATGAGGCAACCATGTTTGTGGACCCAGCCACGGGCCAGACAGTCGACAGCAACATGATGGGCTTGGACATTAGACCCATCCCGCCCAAACCCCGGCCCAAGGTAATGGGTGTGCTTCCATTTTGTTGCAGGGCTGTGTAAAGGTGCCTGTACACAGGGATAGTACTAGCCGCTAGTTCATCCGCCGCTTGAACTGTCCACGCTACTAGCCTCGTGTAAAGGGGTTCAGCCGCTTCAGAGGCATGCGCCGGCAAGTGCCCGAGACGCGGCCGAGAGGGACAACGATGTGTTGATACTTTGGCTGGAGAATTGGCTAGTAGCGCTGATGCTGCCATGGTGAGAACATCTGTGCCGCTCTTGTGAAGTATCTTGGGTCAAGTGAATCATGGCTTGTTTGAACGATAATGTTTCTAAGAAGAAACAAACTAAGTGGATTCCAGACGATATTCAATTATTCTTTGAAATATTCCAGATATATGAATTAAAGTATAATGTTTTCCATGATGGTTACTCCAACAATATAAAGAGAGAAAGGAGTATTTTGAAACTGAAAGAAGACCTTATTAGTCAGGGTTTAGTTGTTCCCGACGCTGCATTTTCAAGGGCTAGAATAAATAGTATAAAAACGACGTACAGACTAGAGTTGTTGAAGGTGATCGCACTATCCATCTTCGCAGACCTCACTCGACGGCTTCTAATAACGCACTGGCGGCCAGTGGCGGGCGCGAAAGAGAAGATAGCGTCACCTTCTACTCTCCTCGTGTGTACAGGCTTACTTGCCGGATAGTCACCAAGCGACCGTCACTAGCCAGATTTACTAGCCGTCTGCACTATCTCCGTGAACAAGCACCTTAAAGCCCGTAATCAGAGCGATACAAAGTCTGAAATCGAGGTTTTAAGAACATGGTGGGAAATCTTTACTCGTTTCTTACATCACACATGTGCTACTCTAGACCTTGCAGTCCTCTTTTAAAGGGGGGGGGGGGGGGTAAGCAACGGATGGTTTTCAGGATCGGCTAGATTTGCATAGCCTCGGCCGAACACTGGCTCCTTTCTATTTCCTTGCTTCTCGCTGAGAGACCTAACAACAGTCACCCTCGAGTTTGACGTCTTCATTGTACGTCTTCAACAGTCACCCACGACGTCTTCATAGTAATTGTTAATATACGGGATTTTTACTCCACGTATAGCATGGTTGCAAGCTTAGCTCGTCTAATTAGGGATGGCTAGCTACCGACGCTAGTCCCATTGGGACGAACTAAGCCTTTCCGAGGTCTCGCGGTTCTCAACAGCCACCTCGAGAGAGTGGCAGTGGTAATGCGCCAAGATAATGGGAGTGCTTCTATTGCGATGTAGGTAATGGGTTGTAAACTCATCGAAAAATCAATTATTGTGGCACAGGAACTCGCGTTATTTTGAAGGCAGTGTGCTCAGGCCTTCTCCAGCTCAGGTAAAGTATGCCAAAAACAAAAGATAGGAAATAAATTTATTAGGTACAAAGTGAATGCATCCCTGAAAGTTATTTACACATTTTTGACTACTCGGGAAATATTTTATTCCCTAAAACTATGGTCATGATGAGGCGTATTTACTCATAAATAATCTAAATATTCGTAAATAATCTCGATTAGTGGCATCAATTATTTTACCACCTCAAGAACGAGATCATCATTCGTTACAGAGACATTATTCTCACTGGAAAATTCATAAATTTCATCGCATATTTCCTTTTATCGTTTTTATTTATGTCACTTGACGTGCCCACGTGACTTGCAGGACGTCTACTTTACCCTCTTTTTCTCCCCTCACCTGACGTGCCCACGTGACGTGCACTTTACCCTCTTTTTCTTTATCTCCCCTCACGTGCACACGTGTCGCGCACTTTACCCTCTTTTTCTCCCCTCACCTGGCGTGCCCACGTGACGTGTACTTTACCCTCTTTTTCTCCCTTCACCTGACGTGCCCACGTGACGTGTACTTTACCCTCTTTTTCTCCCCTCACCTGACGTGCCCACGTGACGTGTACTTTACCCTCTTTTTCTCCCCTCACCTGACCCTCTTTATCTCCCCTCACGTGCCCACGTGTGGCGCAGGACGTTCGCGTACCCATTCCCATCGTGTCACCTGACCCTCTTTATCTCCCCTCACGTGCCCACGTGTCGCGCAGGACGTTCGCGTGCCAATACCCATCGTGTCACCTGACCCTCTTTATCTCCCCTCACGTGCCCACGTGTGGCGCAGGACGTTCGCGTACCCATTCCCATCGTGTCACCTGACCCTCTTTTTCTCCCCTCACGTGCCCACGTGTCGCGCAGGATGTTCGCGTGCCCATCCCCATCGTGCTGCTGTTCGTGGCCTGCTACGTGATGATAGGGGCGCTGTTCTTCCAGCTGCTCGAGGACTGGGATCTCTCCGACGCCGCCTACTTCTGCTTCATCACGCTCTCCACCATCTGTCTCTTATACACATCTAGATGTGTATAAGAGACAGGACCCACTCTACCCTCATGACCCACTCTACCCTCATGACCCACTCTACCCTCATGACCCACTCTACCCTCATGACCCACTCTACCCTCATGNGGCTGCTCAAGGAGGCGTGAAGCAGCACATAGGGCTGCTCAAGGAGGCGTGAAGCAGCACATAGGGCTGCTCAAGGAGGCGTGAAGCAGCACATAGGGCTGCTCAAGGAGGCGTGAAGCAGTACATAGGGCTGCTCAAGGAGGCGTGAGGCAGCACATAGGGCTGCTCAAGGAGGCGTGAGGCAGCACATAGGGCTGCTCAAGGAGGCGTGAAGCAGCACATAGGCATTAATAACGCAATTAAAATACGTTGAAAATGTGATGTTCCATAATCAGAGAAATGGGTTAGATTTTGTCTGAGTAGCGATGGACTGTTTGCCCTTATGTGGGTCATCCTGACCCAGTTTCAGTGATACGCCGTCGCTCTGTTCGTGCTGTGGGTGGGTAATAAATTTTGTCGGTATTTGGACAAAATGATCCATTCCCTGCCCCGGGTGTACGCTCACTGAAACACTGAGCGCCGCTTCCTAAGTCGTGATAAAAATTATTTCTCTACATCAAAACTTTTAAGCAATTTACTGCATGAATAATTCATTAGATAATTAGTTTCTGTATAATTATTAAAGAAATCACTATTATAATATTAATTCCCATTATTGTTAGTAATAAAATAATTATACACGAGGCCTGTAAAAGTCGTACTTGGCAGTAGATCAATCGTAAGTTTGTCCAGTATTACTCGATTACTACTCCTACTTAGGAATATTGTTTAAGGTAATAAATGTTATTTATAGATTTATTAACATTTATTAGAGAGGTATAGTTGTGTGTTGGCCAAACAACCTACAAATATACAATTTACAAGCAGTTTATTCAATACCTACTGACATAGCAGGAGCCCAACGCAAGCAACTCGTAAATCTATATATTCAAATGTGGCGTTCCAAGCATTGATACTTCCGCCTTTCGGAAAATGCGGAAGGAGCTTAATTTCATCGTCGGAGTCAAAAGCTTCATTTAAATGCTCATAGTATAATTTTGGGCATGGCAGGTGGTGACGCTATGCATATAGAACGATGGCCTGATAATTAGTGATTGAGTGAAGAAGCCTCAAGCACCAACAAGAAACTGTGGTAGGTTTCTTTGTGAGGCTATTTCAAGGGACCATAAATGGAACTTGCCCGTGAAATGGCTCATTGTTATAACTCTTTACCTACTTGATAATGAATATTAATATTCGAAACGTCGTATTCCAGTAAAACGTCATTTGGTAACCTGCTTTTCGATCTCCAAGCACCAGCAAGAAATTTTGTTCGGCCTTTTGAAAAAAAAAACAATAAAAAATTTTTAATAAAAAGTATGCTCTGGTTTTCTATCAAACCTGCATAAATGAAATATCTATTTATCTATAATATGTACACAATATGCCTAAATGCCCACTTATGTATTAACAGGTTTAATTGAAGACCAGAGCGTACTTTTTATTAACAATTTTTTTATTGTTTTTTTCGATAAGTCGAACGAAATTTCTTGCAGGTCCTTGGAGATCAAAGAGCAGATTACCAAATGACATTTTACTGAAATGCAACGTTTCGAATATATTAATGTTCATTATCAAGCAAGTGGAGAGTTATTACAACGCTTAAAATTTTAAAATGTAAGTTGACCATGGAGTGCTCTTCAGAAAATTAAGACTGCTGGGGGTCGGAGGTGAATTGCTGGCATGGATCCACCGCTTCCTAACAGAAAGACTGCAATCTGTCGTTGTAGGAGGCTCGAGATCGAGCGAGGCTAGTGTGAAGAGTGGAGTACCAGAGGGAACGGTACTCGGCCCAATCCTCTTCCTCATTCACATCGCCGACATAGATGTGGCTGTGAACCACGCCACTGCATCGCCATTCGCGGACGACACCAGGATATTAATGACCATAACGGACAGGACGGACTGCGAGAGGTTGCAAGAAGACATCTCTGCAATATATGACTGGGCCCAAGTGAACAACATGCAGTTCAACGGGACCAAGTTTGAGGTTCTGAGATACAGAGGTAGCGGAAGAGCTGGTATATGGAGCACCGCTACCTTGAACCTGACAACTCGGAAATCGAAGAGAAACAACTTGTTCGTGATCTAGGAGTGTTGTTGAATACTCGAGTCAATTTTGGTGATCACGTAACGGCAATAACTGCAAGAGGTAGGCGACAGATGGGGTGAATCTGGCGGACGTTCAGAACAAGATAAGCGGAACCGATGATCACACTCTTTAGAGCCCTTCTAATCGGTTCCTTCCTTCACTCTTTAGAGCCCCTTACCAATTCTCGAATACTGCTGCCAGCTATGAACCCCGTTCACACTCGGCGCAGTGCGGCAACTGGAAGGTGTCCAGCGAACCTTCACTTCCAGGATCAGAGGGATGGAAGAGTTGAACTACTGGGAGACGTTGAGGCGCCTGGGTCTGTACTCACTGCAGAGGAAACGGGAGAGGTATGTCATTCTGTACACATGGAAAATGATAACCGGAATGGTGCCAAACTTCGAGAGCGAGACCTTCAGGATTTAGACATATCACAACGAGAGAAGGGGGAGACTGTGCAAGATCCCTCTCTTATACACATCTAGATGTGTATAAGAGACAGCCTATTTACTTGACTTTGTACTTATGTCGACGCTAATTTCATCACTCAATGCGCCTTTTAACTTGATAATGAATGATAGAAACATTCGAAACGTCGTTAACGAAATAAAAATGTCCATCGGTAACCTGATTTTCGATTTGCCAGTTCAAACTAAAAATATTGTTCGATATATTGAAAAAACTAATAAGAAAATTGCGAATAAAACAAATTCTCTGGTCTTCAATGAAACCTGCTTGAAAGAAGAAAGTCTGCCGACCTATACTGACTTGTGTATATGTACACAATTAATACTTTGCAAGAAGATGCTTATAAGAATGAGCTATACTCAGCTAGAGCATCAATACCAAATGCATTACTTATATTATACAGCCTCTGAAAGAATTACCTTATACCGATACTTGCATCCCTTTGTGATGAGACAACGTCATTAAACGTGTTATAAAGACGTTATAAACGCCTCATAACCGCGACATTATCAACGTAACGTTATAAACGCGTTATTCTTAGTTTGCTATGTGATAAACTGTGATCACGACTTGGCTTTGAATTCCTAATTGAAGATAATGTAATTATAATGATTATTTGAAATATATTTTTAACCGTGTACTTAACCCTGACCAGATGGTCAGCTGGTGAGCGTACAAAATTAAGGGGAAGTTATAAAAGAAACGCGCATAAATGATAGAGGGTAATTAATGTCTCGGACATTCGGTCCAAGAAATAAACTCGCAGCGGATTCTAGCTTCTTTATTAAGGTGTAAACCTGAAAAGACGCATTAACATGAACGTGAACAAACAAACGAAACAGGATGCAATACGAACGTATTAACAAATTTCAAAAAAACATTTAAATTTTTTTATTTATAACAATTTGGAACTCACGAGGGTGGGAGTACGAAGTCAGAGGCGGTTATTGTGAGACTGTTAAGGGGTATGCCGTGCGAATTACAATTAGTATAGCTAAGTTCTTAATCTCCGGGTATCAGGTTTAAGAATACCGGCACAGGTAAGGAAAACAAGGAAATTATACGTTTGATGGTGAGTTAAGTGCAACACTCAGTAGCAGGCAGAGGTGGGCAGTAGTACGCTACATGTAGCGGCCGCTACATTTTCAGTAGCGGTAGCGGCGCTACATTTAAGCAATTGTAGCAGGTGCGCCCGCTACATATTTATGCAGCGATACGAGGTTTTGCCGCTACAGCGCTACCACTACATTTATAGGTAAAGCCTTCAGATTTTACTTAATAGTATAAATATTATTTAAAAGCCAGCATGATTCATACATAATATAAATTACAGAATAAAATTGTACGAAGGATTTCGGTATAATGTTATCAACCTCGGCCTGTTACCAGTGTCAACATGTTAGTTGTTACTTGTTAAGTTGTTACCAGTGACCACTTACAGGTATTTTTCATGTTCCAGTTTGCTTACAGTTATTTTTACACAGTTATTTTTATGTTCCACCTTCCCTACATGGATGTCTACTTTAATCTACCAATCTCAAAAATAATCCACATATATATACAAAAAAGACTGATTTTTATATGTATATGTGGATAATTTCTTAGATTGGTAGATTAAAGTTCACATCC